TTTTGTCTGTATTATTGGATTTTCATTCTCACATCATCATCCCCCAGTGTTGAGACTTAAGATATGGTGTCATCAAATGCAGATACGTTGGAAATATCCACCCTCAAGTGACTGAACTTCTACTCCAAGAAGTATTTGCGAGTACTGGTCCCCTTGAAGGATGCAAGCTTATAAGAAAAGAAAGGGTCTGGCTCTATTATTTAAGTTTTTTTATTTACTAACTTGTAGATCCTTCAATATTTCAGAGTAATCTCTTTCTTTCATGTTACTTGTTCACATCCCTTATGCAGTCATGCATAATTGCTGTATAGCATCTTAGATTTTATCCCAAAAGCAGTAAAAATTAGAGAGCATCAAAATGAAAAATAGCATCTGTTTCAGAGAGTGTTTTCACTGCAAGAAAACAAGACATGGATCGGTGACCGAGTTAGTGCTGAAAGAAAGTTAATGTTAAATTGTATCAGGGAATCATTTCCTGATCTTTTTTCAGTTAAGTTTTTTTATAAGAAAGAAGGTGGCTGGATGGACTTTGGATCCTGTCATTATATGAATGACTTGGTGTAAAACGGTTCGATCCACTTGTTTTAGAATGACTTAGCTGCTTTGTTGGCTATTTGCTTCTCTTTCTTCAGTGTAGAAAATAGTAACTCATTGTTTCCAGTTAGCTTTGCACAAACTGCGTATGTTTTTGAATCAAGGAAGACCGTTGATTGATATCATCATATCACACTGCCCTAAAAGCTTATAAATTTGTAACTGGTTTGATAGAATACTGATGGGCTATGTACTGATTTATGTGCAGTCATCATATGGTTTTGTGGATTATTATGACCGTAATGGAGCTGCCCTTGCTATTCTGGGTCTGAATGGAAGACAATTGTAAGTTCATATAATCCTTAGTTTAAATCTGCATTATTGCTTTTGGGCTTTGCTGGTTCTCTTCTTAAGTTTTCTTTTTATTGCAGGTTTGGGCAGCCAATAAAAGTTAATTGGGCCTATGCCAGTGCTCAAAGAGAGGACACTTCAAGTATGTATTTTTCTTCTAAATTCTAAAAATTAGATATCCTAATCAGCTCCTTCAACCCTCTTCATCTCTCATTATCTATTTTTCCTTGCTTTAATGGTGTATACATTTTTCTTCCCTTTAGGCCACTTCAACATTTTTGTGGGTGATCTAAGCCCAGAGATTACAGATGCCACCCTGTATGCATGTTTTTCAGTCTATTCTAGCTGCTCGTAAGTTCTGTTCTGATCTTACTAAAATTTCAGCAAACCCAATTTCTAATTTCACTTGGAATGACAATACAATCACTCTCTTCATTCTGATCGATGCAGAGACGCAAGAGTGATGTGGGATCAGAAGTCTGGCCGGTCAAGAGGGTTTGGATTTGTTTCTTTCCGTAATCAGCAGGCATAAATGCATATTTCTTCCACTTATGTTATATTCTGTTTATTTTTTAATTTTAATGGCATAAGTCATACCCTTATTTTTTTTCCTTTCAGGATGCACAAAGTGCAATAAATGACTTAAACGGTAAGGACATTATTATTCAATCAACACTTTCATTATTTTCATTTTATATCCTACAGATGCTCTTAGTCATGTCAAGCATTAAAACAGTTTTCTTCATTGTGTTGTCATTTTTTGCTGTTAATGGGAATGTTCTCTTAAAACTCAGCTCCAGTTCTCTATTTGTGTATTTTTTTGGTAGTTCTGTATAGTGATGGTCTCCAGACTTTCTGCTGTTTTGCTTATCCTATATGATGATATATGGCAGGCAAGTGGCTTGGAAGTAGACAAATTCGGTGCAATTGGGCAACAAAAAGTGCTGGATCTAGTGAAGAAAAGCAGATGTCCGATGCTAAAAGTGTTGTGGAATTAACAAATGGCTCATCAGGTAAACAATTATTTAATATCAAATGGCTTATCATGCTAAGATATTCTTCTTGTTACTGTGTACTTTTGTTGCCAAATTTTTGTGTTTAAGACCATGGTTGCCTACCATCTTGTTTAGAATAATAGAACCTTGGTTTGCTAGTTGTATTTAGCAGCAAAAAAGTGTACTGTACTTCGTAATCACACTTTTGATGAAATGAAATTATTGCTGTGTTTAAACTTTTGTCCTCACTATGCAGATGATGGTGCAGAAAAGACCAATGAAGATGCACCCGAAAACAACCCTCAGTACACAACTGTCTATGTTGGCAATCTCTCCCCTGAAGTGAGTATTTTTTTACCTATAATTCTTGTGCATATTCTCATTCACTTTGTCCTTCATTTACTATCAGACTAGTCTACCGTAGCCTCCTTAACTCCTGGAGGGAAATTTACAAAGCATTCGCATTGCCATTGTTCTGGATTCTTTATTTTCTTTTAGCTTTTTTTTCCACACTTGTCATTTTGGATATAATGCACAGGTTACTTCTGTTGATCTGCACCGTCTCTTCCATTCTTTTGGCGCCGGAGTCATTGAAGACGTTCGTGTTCAGCGTGACAAGGGTTTTGGATTTGTTAGGTATAGTAGCCATGATGATGCAGCTCGGGCTATTCAACTTGGGAATGCCCGAATTCTATTTACCAAACCCATCAAGGTACTTTTGTTTGTCATTTTAAGCAGCATGTTAGTTACATATATGTCCAATTGTCCCTTAACATTATTATGAGCACTTTTTATTAGGTAGTTTGGTAGTATAAGTACTTTTTGGCAAACTCATTAACCTTTGATGTTTTAAAGATTACAATTAAACCCTTAGATTTTTTATGAACGCACCAAACTTCGAAAGACAGAATCTAATGACATTAAGAAGATTTCAGTGTCTATTTATTGGGTTTGATGCTTTCTGCACTCGGTTCTTTTTAATATAATTACTCTGTAATCCGTATATTCTACCATCCTTCAATGCCATTTCTAGAAAGTCTTGGGTCATTTGGTAGTTTGACCAAATAAAGGAAGATGTAACTAATCCAGCAAAACTTACACAAAAAAAGCCGTTTTTAATAAGATCCGAAGTTGAGGTTTTCAAGAAAGTCTTGTTGGGCCAAGAAACCTTTAATTTCCCAAATTCCCATCCCCACAACACAAAAGTTTACCAAAAAAATAAAGTTCGCAATCATAAAATGTGAAAATGTCGGGAGTAGGTGCCTCTTTTGTTTGAGCCTTCATTATTGTTTTTCCAAACTCATCCCCACCCCACCTGCACACAATAAATCTTAGCACGATTTTTGAATGTTTTTGTGCTCTGTTCCTTTGGTGTGGGCACTAGAAGCCTATCATGGTAGGACATGATGAGCTGAGAACGTTATTGTCACTGTGCAGCATTTAATGTTTTCTGTAATTATGCATCTAATGGGCTCATCAATCTTAAGTCTTTAAATTTCCCTCTACTTTTCTCAATAATGTTAAGGGAGAATGATATGTGAGCTACAATTTTCTTACTATTCTTTTGCAGTCCATCTCACTCCAATCAGCCCCTAATGGATTCCAACTAAGGGCCTGTTTGGAAACCCAGAAATGATATCAAAAACGGTCCATTTTCTAGAATATTTACATTCATTTTCTCTTGTTTCACCAAAGTTAGGAAAATTGCTTCTATTAACAAATTATCTTATGGTATGTTTGGGAACATGGATATAGATTTCAAATCTGGATTTGACTCAAATTTCATGTTTGGGAAACTTAAAAATTTTGAATTTGGATTTGAGTCAAATTCTTCTCATTCATAACAAAGCTTAATTTCAAATTCATGCACATCCCCTTGTCATTTAAAATTCAAGATTTCAAATTTTGGAATTGAAATGTATGAATTCAAATGAAATGTTATGTAAATGTAACACCTTGGGTATTATAAGGCTATAAAGTGGAACCTTGGATTCCCTTTTTTTTTCTTCTTGAAATTCTTGCCTGAAGGTAATTTGGTATTATAATTGGAGTAATTTTGTGGAAATGCAGTGTTCGTGGGGAAGTAAGCCGACTGTGCCGGGAACAAGCTCCACCCCTCTGCCGCCACCGGCAGCTGGTCACATTCCTGCTGTGGATGTTGCAGCGACCAATCACCTTGCAGCCTACGAGATGCAGCTTGCTCTGAGCAAAATGGGCGCGGCACAAGCTGCCGCCCTCATGCACCACCACCAGGGTCACCGGTTTGGCGCTGCTAATCCGGCGGCGATGTACGACGGCGGGTATGCAGCCCAACCCCATATGTACTATCAGTAGTATTAATATTAATAATAATTGCATCTGTCCACCGCAACCTCGTACTGGTTGGGATTATTGTCGGATCAGAGTTGATGTTATTACTGTTAAGATTAGGATTTATCAGTACTGGGCCACTCACTCCACTTTTTTTTTTTTTTTTGGGGTCTTTTTTTGTTATTAATTTTTACGAATCATTAGTGCTGAGTATTGTATTTCCGCATATAACTCGATTTGTATAATCTGCAGGCTGTATGGATTTTGTTTTGGAACTTTGGGGAATGAGGGGTTTATGCAACTTTTTATTTTCTGCTGTTTTCTCTTGTGATTTTTTAGATAAATAAATCATGCACATTTTTTGTGGGTAGTGTTCACTTGCACTATATTAAAAAACTTCGCTCTTTCTTTTTATAATATAAATGAGTGGCTCAATTTTCATTTTTTTCCGTCACTAACAAATCTTTACTTTTTCTTTTTAAAATAAAAATGTGCTGCTCAAAAAGTCTCTCATTAAGTTTTAACCATATCTATTTTACTTTTAAACATTTTTGTGAAAATGTAGAAGATTTTTAGGTGTACTCTGGCATTATTTACTGCATATCAGTGTTTTACCTAAATATTATAGTTACAATGTTGTTATTATTATTATTATTGTTATCACTCCCTCTGTTCTATAACTGATGGGTGTATTTCACCCACGATTGGTCAAAGGAGGAGACCGATTAGTTGACCGGTCAATCCCGAAAGTTTTAGAAGGGAGACTTAAATCGTCGGCAAAACGATGTATCATCAGCCAAAAGATGACCGGTATACTTCACAAAAAAGTATACCGGTCAAACTACGTTGTCATCCTATTTATTCCAGACTTCGATGAATTCATTCCTCGGAGATTACCCGGTGTAGTTTCTGGGGTTGGAAAGTGTCGGCAGAAGAGGATCTGCGAGGGCTTGGCGTGTAGCGACCCGTGTCAGTAGAGGACAACTGGAGATGCTGAAGAATCCATCCAAGACACTACTCGACAAAGGGAATGATCCCCCTCACAAGGCGACAAGGTAGCTCGAGGACGAAACCAGTCACCTCGCACCACATCAGCAGCATGCCCCCACGTGGGCGCACGTGGTCCTGTCCCCTTAGCCTAGTATAAATACTCATGTAAACCTCAAAAAGAGGGATCCGAATTCATTCTCTCTAAACTCCCATGTAAAAGCACCCGTGCATTCTCCGTTATAATATAAATTGGGCTACAGGTGTTCCACCTAAAGCCCTACCGGTCAATCTACGAGTTTTTGCCTTTTTTACTTTGCCAAATCAAGTAAACTATTCTAGACCCGGTCTAGTATAGTTTGACCGGTCAAGTAATTTACACCATCATTTTTGGCACCGACCGTGGGACCGTTAAGGTTTCTTCTCCTAAACACAAACCTACCCACCAAAACACCACTCGAAATGTCTTCCAGCCAACAAATTAACGCTACTTCCGCTTAGGTGCAAGCCACCAATGAGGGTGCCAGCATCCCCGTGGCTGCTACCATACCGGTTATTTCAGCCCCGGTGTTGCCTCTGGGTCTGAGCTCTATCCCGACGGCCAGCGTGATCAGCCCCTTCGCGACCCCCGTCCCTTCCGCTGGACCGAGGGTCACATTCCCACCAAGCATGACTCAGTTCATGAATGACCCAGCCAACCTACAAGCCATCCAGGGCTTCGGTCAGGTCATGGCCATGTGCCAACAGAATGGGGGGATGCCTTTCCTCCCTGGTATGTTCCCGTTCGCCCTTCCAGGCGCGGGAACCATGCCAATACAAGCTCCGATGGCGGTAACGTCGTTCCAGACGCCGATGCCGCATCCATCACCTTTCCAGCCCCAGCTGGTAGCACCATGGTCCCCGTAAACTTGACCGGCGCACTTAACGCCGCAGGGCCGTCGCGTCCCCCGCAAGCTACGAATCCGCAGATCACTCCTGACGGTCATTGCGTCTCAATTGAGAGCGATGACGGCGAGTGGGACATCCCAAGGGCCCACAAGAAGAAGAAAGTAAAAAACATCCGGCCAGCGACCTCCCGAAACTCCGCCTTCGAAAGGCTGGGGGATAGGGAGGAAGGCCAGAGGAAGTCAGCCAAGCAAAGGCTGGGGCAGAGCGTTGCCCATGTCAGCGCGTTCGCCCTGCTAGGCGAGGTGCGGGAGGCCGAGCCTGCCCGCACCCGGCACTCCCGGTCTAACCGGCAGGAGCCAGCAAGGACGAGGGCCTCTCGTCACGAAGAGGAAGCAGAGAGCCAGTCCAGGTTACCGGTGGCGAACCGGTTGACCATTCCAAATGACCGCGTCCAGCAAATGGAAGCAAAACTAGAAAGGCTGGAGAAGAAGGTCGGAGAGAAGAATGACCGGGACAAACCCTTGGCGGGGTCCCCGTTCACCACAAGGGTCCATCTGACACCTTTCCCGCGAAAGGTCAAGATCGACGCCCTCAAATTCACCGGGAAGGAAGATCCGGAAATCCATCTGGATTCCTTCAACCAGAGTGCGACCATGAACGGTTGCACCGATGAAGAAAAGCGCCTTCTTTTCTTCCAGACCTTGCGGAACCGAGCCACTGAATGGTTCAATAAGCTTCGCCCGGGAAGCATTGATTCGTTCAGTGATTTGGCCTCGAAGTTCAAGGCCAAGTTCCAAGAGAATTGCACTAAGAGGAAGAAATTCACCTATCTTAGTACAGCCGGGCAGAGGGAGTCTGAGAACCTTACTCAGTTCCTTACCCAGTGGAAGGAAGAGGTTGACAAGGTGGAAGAGATGGACGAAAAGATCGTCTTATCCCTCCTCTTGAATGGCTTGCGTGTCGGGGAACTATACAAAGAGTTCTGCCGGAGACCCCCAGCTACGTACCAAGAGGCCTACCACACTGCATGGGAGTTTGCTGAAGCTGAAACTCAGCTCAGGGCAAAGAGAGAAGCTGAGCATGGTCACAAGCCCAAGCTGGTGCAAGTCAAGAAGGAAGAAGCACCGGGACCTAGCCGGCCGAGGCACCACTATGATCCGGTCATCCGAGTGGTCAATACGGAAGAATGTCAAGAAGTCCGGAAAGCACCGGTCATTCCTCTAGAAAACCCTACCGGTCAAGTAGGGCGGCAATCGTCGGGCACCTATTGTTTGTACCACAGGTCAGATTCCCATAACACCTCCGAATGCAAAAGTGTTAAGGGAGTCATCCGGCAGATGATCGACAGTGGAGAGCTGGGCAAAGATTACTTGCAGAAAGCCCAGGAGAAGAGTCATCAATGGGTTAGGCCAACTGCCCCAGGGGATGACCGGGACAACGACTGGCGGAGGAATAACCGGCCAAGGGAGCGGCAACCTGCTCCCGAAAAAAAGCACATCGGCATGATCTTCGGCGGACCCGAGGGTGGAGATTTAGCCGCGCAGCGAACTGGGTCCGGAGCATTTACGTTGGAGAGGTAAGTGCTAAATCGCCCAGGCGTAAACATACTAGGAGGGAGCCGATCGTCTTTACTGACCAGGATCTTCCTCCTACCGGTGAAGATCACAATGATCCATTGGTCATCACCATGGACATTAATGGGGTGGATGTCGCCCGGGTACTTGTTGACACCGGCAGCAGTGTCAACATCTTATACCTGGAGACCTTCCAAAAACTCAGGTTGTGTCGAACACAACTTGAACCCCTCAAAACCCCTCTCTTAGGCTTCACGGGGGACACCATTGAAGCTGAAGGATCCATAGTTCTACCGGTCGAACTAGGATTAGGTGAAAAGACCGTGTGGAAGAAGATGAGGTTCATAGTTGTGGACATAAAATGCATCCACAACGCAATTCTTGGAAGGCCCGGCATCAATAGAGTCGGGGCGGTGATTTCCATGCCTCATCTATGCATGAAGTTCCACACTCCAGGTGGTGTGGGTGAAGTGAAGGGCGATCAGAGGAATGCCCGGGATTGCTATGCCCGGGCAGTCAAGAAAATGACCAAGGGGGTCAATGTCATCTCCCAAGGGGTCACAAAGGGAGAGACCCGGGAGAAACTGGAGCCCGAGGCCGAGACGGTGGAAATCGAACTTCACCCGGGTGATTCTTCGAGGATGGTCAGAATTGGAGCAAATCTCCCCGAGGATCTCAAGGCACAGATTACACGGGTCCTCCAAGAATACGCGGGCATATTTGCATGGAGCGTGGCGGATATGCCCGTGATAGATCGCTCTGTTATCTGCCACCGGTTGGCCGTGAGGGAGGGAAGTCGACTGGTAAAACAGAAGAAGCAGTACCGTGTCAGTGACCGGCGAGAGTTCGTCAAGAAGGAAGTGAAGGACCTCCTCAGTGTTGGTCACATCCGAGAAGTCAAATACCCGGATTGGTTGGCCAACGTTGTCCTTGCTCCCAAGGGCGACACATGGAGAATGTGTGTGGATTATACGGACTTGAACAAGGCTTGTCCGATGGATTCATACCCCCTTCCCAGTCCAGATCAAATGGTGGACGAAACTGCGGGGTGCGAACTCCTAAGTTTCATGGATGCCTTCAAGGGTTACCACCAAATCTACATGGCCAAGGAAGATGAAGAGAAGACGTCATTCCTCACACCCGAAGGAACCTACTGCTACCGGGTAATGGCGTTTGGCTTGAAGAACTCGGGGGCAACCTACCAGTGCATGGTGAACAAACTCTTTAAGCCACTACTGGGAAAGACCATGGAGGCATACGTCGACGACATGCTGATCAAAAGCCAGGTATCTCTCAACCATCCGGCTGATATGCGAGCCACGTTCGATATCATGGCAAAATACAACCTCCGACTGAATCCTAAGAAATGCGTCTTCGCGGTTCGTACCGGGAAGTTCTTGGGATTCATGGTAACCAAGAGAGGAATAGAGCCCAACCTAGAGAAAATTCGGGCCATCACTGAAATGCAAGCCCCTACCTCCGTTAGGGATGTTCAAAAGTTGACCGGTCGTTTAGCGGCCCTCAGCCGATTCCTTTCCCGGTCAGCTGAGAGATCCCTGCCCTTCTTCAAAGTTCTAAAGAAGGCCAACACATCTGCATGGGACGAAGAATGCCGGAGGGCATTCGAGGAGCTGAAAGAGTACCTAGCGTCGGATATTGTATTGTCTAAACCCGAACCGGGAGAAACTCTGTACCTGTACCTGGGAATTTCCCCAAATGCTGTAAGCTCCGTTTTAATAAGAGATGATGGGGCACAAAAGCCCATTTATTATGTGAGCAAAGCACTAAACGGGGCTGAGAGTAGATATACAGCGATGGAAAAGACAGCCTATGCGCTTTTCATTTCCGCAAAGAAGTTAACATCCTACTTCCAAGCTCACCCGGTAAAAGTCTTGACTGACCAACCGCTGGGTGCAGTGTTGCGAAATTCAACATCCTCCAGGAGGATGGTGAAGTGGGCGATGATGTTAACTCAATTCAATATTGAGTACCGGCCAAGGTCAGCAATTAAGGGACAGGCCCGTGCTGACTTCTTGGTAGAAATGACCGGTCTAACTCCAGACCTACCGGTCAACAAGCCCGTTGAGCAATGGTGGGAGATGGCAGTTGATGGGGCATCCGGTCCTAGGGGATATGGGGCTCGTATCGTGTTCACCACCCCAGAAGGGTTCAAGATCTACCATGCAATCGTCTTCAACTTCAAGCTGACGAACAACGAGGCAGAGTATGAAGCTCTGGCTGGAGGGCTCAGACTTGCCCAAGCCCTGAAAATCAGCCGGGTCAGTATCAAATCTGGCTCTAGCCTGATAGTTGGACTGGTGACCGGTAACATGGAAGCAAGGGAAGGATGCATGGCACAGTACAAGGACCTTGTACTTGCCCTGTTGAAAGGCTTCGAAGAGTTCAAGATCGCCCAAATTCCCCGGGAGGAAAACGCGATTGCAGACCTTCTCTCCAAGTTGACGCAGTATGCTCCCGAGCATGTTTCAAAACTTGTCCGGGTAGAGATCCTTGACCGTGCAAGCATCGAAAAATTGGAAGTCGCCGCCATAACGGCCAGAAGCCAATTTGACCAGTCAAACCTGGTCGGGGCGGACGACCATTGGATGTATGATCTGATGGAATATCTGATGGATGGGAGCTTGCCAGAACAAGATGACCGGGCAAGAAAAGTGAAGCTCAGGGCACCCCGATTCCAGATTCTTGATGGAAAGTTGTATAAAAGGGCATTTGGGGGGCCACTCCTGAGATGTCTAACTAACCGGGAGGCTGAGCGAGTCATAGCAGAGGTCCACGAAGGCGTATGCGCGGCACATCAAATGTCCCGTACGCTTTCCCAGCGCATCATCCTATTGGGGTATTACTGGCCAACAATCGTCCAGGATTGTGAAAGGTACGTCTAGAAATGCAGAACGTGCCAAGTATTTTACAAGTATCCCGGTAGACCGGCGACTTACTACCACCCCGTATCGAATGTCATCCCATTCACCAGATTCGGGGTTGATATCATTGGAGCCTTTCCAATCGCCCAAGGAGGGAAGAAGTTCGTAATCGTAGCCATCAATTACTTCACCAAATGGATCGAGGCCGAAGCGTTGGCCAACATTACCACGCAACAATGCAAGAAATTCATTTGGAAGAACATCATCACGAGGTTTGGAGCGCCCATGAACCTCATCACCGACAACGGTCCACAATTCCGGAACCCGAGGTTCACCGAATACTTGGAGGGCTTCGGAATCAAGCACAATCGCTCCTCGGTAGCGTACCCCCAAGGGAATGGCCAAGTCGAAAACACCAACAGAACTATTGTGGATGGTTTGAAGAAACGGCTGGGAGAGGCAGGAAACAAGTGGCTGGAAGAGCTCCCACACATCGTATGGGCATTCCGAGTAACACCCAGGAGGGCTCATGGGGAAACTCCATTCTCCCTAACCTATAGGTGTGAAGCAAGGCTGCCCATCGAAGCTGAATTCCCAACGTTTCGGGAATCAAATTATCAACCCCAACAAAATGAAGAAGATCACTTGGCCGAGCTCAACTTGGTTGAAGAGCGGAGGATGGCCGCGGAAGTTAAAATGAATACGTACCAACAAGTTGTGAAGAAGTACCATGACAACAAGGTTGGGCCACGGTACTTCCAAGTTGGGGATGAAGTCCTACGAAGAAGAGAAGCAAGTAGACCCGGCGATGGAGGAAAGCTGGCAAAAAACTGGGAAGGCCCATACAGGGTTAGAGCCATCATTCGACCAGGAACGTATCGATTAGAAACTTTAGATGGTGTACCGGTAGAAAGAACTTGGAATTCCCACCATCTTCGCAAGTTCTACAAATGATTGTAATACTAGGCGAGGCCTAACTACATTATCAATCAAAGTAATGTTCAATACTCTACTTGGTAGCNAAGTACCATGACAACAAGGTTGGGCCGCGGTACTTCCAAGTTGGAGATGAAGTCCTACGAAGAAGAGAAGCAAGTAGACCCGGCGATGGAGGAAAGCTGGCAAAAAACTGGGAAGGCCCATACAGGGTTAGAGCCATCATTCGACCAGGAACGTATCGATTAGAAACTTTAGATGGTGTACCGGTAGAAAGAACTTGGAATTCCCACCATCTTCGCAAGTTCTACAAATGATTGTAATACTAGGCGAGGCCTAACTACATTATCAATCAAAGTAATGTTCGATACTCTACTCGGTAGCGGTGGAATTGATAGGTCGAACCTATCCTAGGAGGGCTTCCTGGGTGGATCGAATCCACTTGGATAAGCCAACTGAGACACAGGCCCGGACCTGGCACGCTGGTTACTACAACGGTCTTGCTCAGTATAATAGAAAAAATATTAAAACCCGGAAGAGGGTATGCCTGCAAGAGGGCTGGACCTGGAAGAGGGTTCGAACCGTACTTACACGGGCCCATGAGGTTTGACTGGTGTCGGGGAATCAGCCGGCACCGTCAAATTGATTGGGGACTAAAAGATGCCCATTAAAAGAAATAGAAGGGGATCGTCCACCGTGGCGCATCCTGTTTCCCCCTTCTCAGGGAAGACTTGAACGAGGGGGTGAGCTAAGGCCTTCCCGGGATGGTAGAAATCAAAGGGCCATTAAAAGACTTAATCACCCGGAAGAGGGGGCCCTGGAAGAAGGGTGCATTTGGACCTTGGAGAGGGTTCGAAACCATTCAACATGGTTAAATCTCCAGTATTCTTACCGGTTAAGGATACTTCAAGAATTACTAGGTTACAGATGTTTCCATCTACAACCTACCGAAAAAAAATACCCCGGTCGGGTATGGGCACAACAGAACTTCGAAAGTTCTACATCCATCGAAAGGCAAGGCAGTTGACCGGTCAAACCATGGAGTGGGAATCAACCGGTCAAAGTAAACTTTACCAAAGAATTTGTGAAGTTATCCAAAAAGCAAAAGTAAAGTTCGGCCGGTCAAACTTTTTAAGTTGGCCAAAATGATGAAGACGTTCGAAAAGCAAAAATTGAAGTTTAACCGGTCAAAGTTACTCGAGTTAATTCTTCAGAAACAATTGAGAAGTGGTCTGATTGGGCTACCGGTCAGAATTTATAAGAAGCAAGAGCAAAGTATAAATCAACAAGCAAGCATATATGGAAGATTCACCGGTAAGGAAATTAAACATGGCATTCAAACGGAACAAGCATGGCATTTAAATTTGGAAATGTCAAATGTTTACAAATACGCCGGGCATGCCCGGGGAAATTTTTGTGCCATGTTTTACAAGAATAACCGGGCGCAACCGGGGAGATTAGTCAAGGGGGAAGGGGGGAGTCGGCTCTTCTTCCGGGATTGAGGCCAGGCCGTAGGATGCAGCGGTGAAGTCCGGATCTCTTCTGAGCAGTACCTGGTGAGAGGCGATCTGGTCCTTCTTTTGCCCGCTCTTGAATCCGAAGGATCCAATCACGGTAATCATCTTCCTTCCTTCAGGCTCCCGGTATAAAAGCCTGAAGGACTCCATCGTGGTCTCGGGAGTCACCGTCATCACCCGGGCAGCTTCAGCGTTGTTCTCTTCCACCCAGGCAGCTGCACGCCCGGGGAAGGTTTCTTCCTTATCCGCCATCTCCCTCTTGGCTTCAAACACCGCGTCCATCAGCCGGCCATTCTCTTCCTTGAGGTGAGAGATCTCCGCCCTCATCGACCCGGTCAGCCCGGATAGCCTGGTCAGCTCATCAGCTTGGCTCTTCAGGATGAGAGCCATCTCCTCCTTCTCCTTCTTCAGCAGGGCAAACTCCGAAGAAGAGCCCAAACCAAGCCGGTCAGCTGAGAGGGGTCTGATCTCCCCCGCCTGCGCAAAAGGAAAAATAGACCGGTAAGATTCCCGTCGAGGGAATAAGAAGGTCAAAACCGGGGAAGCAACAGGACTTACCTCCTTCAGCCTCAGCCCCAGATTAATGAAGGCCTCTTCAATGGTCTGGCCGGCCGGCTCAGGATCCGATTTTGCCCTCTTCTTGGTGTAAGAAGGGTGCGTGGTGGCCACCTTCTTCATCCGACGACCGGGCTTTTCCTTTTCCTTCCCCTTAGACCGGTTGTCTTGGGGCTCGTCCTCATCCAGAATCTCCACGGTCTCTTGGTGGACCGGGAAGGTTCTGCCGGGGTTGGCTTGGGAGCCCCCGGTCTCTCCCGCTGGTTGGTCGTCAGGGATGGCGAACTCCTCGAACTCCATATCTGCAAGAATCAACAAAAAGGTGCTAAGTATAATAGAAGGTACCGGTTAAATAAAGAACATAAGAAAAATAACTACCTGGGTGGTTTTGGCCCTCAGCCTCTGCAGTGTTGCCCGGGGAGGGTACCCTGCGCCCCGCTGCTTCATGGGCCTGGGAGGTACCCTCACCACCCGACTCGACCCTCCAGACCCAGTTGCCATAGTGGAAGACCCTCCCGGTGTATGGATCGCCACGCATAAGGACCTCAAGACTTGCTTCCAAGTCAGGGGAGGAAGCCGGTGCAGCGTACTCTTGGTCAAGGAGATGGTCGTTCCATTTGAGACCGGCGAAAGGGGTGACGAATGGGGGAAACTCAATGAAAACAAATTTTTTCTTCCATCCCCGGTTACTTTGGGGGACTTCGGAGATGAACTTCCTACCGGTACGGGCTTTGAAGAACACAAAACCTTCACAGCCAGTCCCGCCCGGTAGGACTTCAAAGCAAAAAAGGAAAAGACGCAAAGAGGGGAAGATTTTCAGATGGGTACAAATATTTACAAAGGAATGGAGATACCGGTGGGCGTTAGGTGTTATTTGACCGGGCAAAATCCTAAACGCATAGCATACTTCGGTTAGGAGGGGGCGAAGGGGAAAAACTATGCCCGCATCCAGGGATATGGGGTGGAACCCTATCCTGTCCTCCCGGTGGGGTTCGACAATGTTGGGCCAGTTGGGCTCATACAGGAGGGTGTACCCATCCGGGAGCCTCCTACGAATTTTGTTCAAGGCGATTTTGGATACACGGGAAGGGATGTCAAGGACATAGAAGGTGGGGAGCGGAAAGTAACCGGCAGCATGAAGCCGCTCCTCCCACGCATCCCGGGTTTCGTGTTCAGGGTCATAGGGACCCGGTTCGTCATCAACCGGGTCATCCCTCCCCACGAAAGTTTCATCGGGCATCTGGTTAACAGGATGCGGGTCGGGAATAGAGGAGTTGGGAACCTGACCGGGCGTGGAGTCAAGAGAAGAAGACCCGGTCGAAGAAGAGGAGTTTGAGTCCTCAGAGGAGCAGTCCTCTAAGGAACAGATCCTATCGCTAAGAGAAGACATGACCGGGAAAGTAGAGAAGGAAGGGGAAACTTACTTGGCTCGGAGGGCTGGATAGCGAGAGAGAGGAATTTGACCTGTGAAAGCTCTAGAAGGCGAAGTGCGAAAAGTGAGAAGTGAAGGGGGTTGGAGGCCTTTATATAGGAGGGAGGAAGCCGAATCAGATGACGTGGTCTCTCCAGGTTGCGCCACGTCAGGCGGCGCAATGATGACCCACTGGCAGGCGAAACGACGGGTGGGCCGTCGACCGTTGCAGCGACGTGTGTCCAACACGTGTCAAAGCTCCGAGTTCAAATTTAAATTTTGAGATTTTCGGGCGGGAAAAAGCCTGAAATTCAAATTTGAGGTCCCTTTTTAGACTTTTTACTTCCCGCTCATGGCAAATTGCATGATCGAGAAATGGAGGGCTTATTGATGGGTGTATTCCACCCACGATCGGTCAAAGGAGGAGACCGATTAGTTGACCGGTCAATCCCGAAAGTTTTGGAAGGGAGACTTAAATCGTCGGCAAAACGATGTATCATCGGCCAAAAGATGACCGGTATACTTCACAAAAAAGTATACCGGTCAAACTACGTTGTCATCCTATTTATTTCAGACTTCGATGAATTCATCCCTCGGAGATTACCCGGTGTAGTTTCTGGGGTTGGAAAGTGTCGGCAGAAGAGGATCTGCGAGGGCTTGGCGTGTAGCGACCCGTGTCAATAGAGGACAACTGGAGATGCTGAAGAATCCATCCAAGGCACTACTCGACAAAGGGAATGATCCCCCTCACAAGGCGACAAGGCAGCTCGAGGACGAAACCAGTCACCTCGCACCACATCAGCAGCATGCCCCCACGTGGGCGCACGTGGTCCTGTCCCCTTAGCCTAGTATAAATACTCATGTAAACCTCAGAAAGAGGGATCCGAATTCATTCTCTCTAAACTCCCATGTAAAAGCACCCGTGCATTCTCCGTTATAATATAAATTGGGCTACAGGTGTTTCACCTAAAGTCCTACCGGTCAATCTACGAGTTTTTGCCTTTCTTACTTTGCCAAATCAAGTAAACTATTCTAGACCCGGTCTAGTATAGTTTGACCGGTCAAGTAATTTACACCATCAATAACTTTTTTTCCCATTTTTCCTAAAAAAATACTACCTCCGTCCCATTTTAAATTGCCTGTTTGCCTTTTTTCTCCGTCCCAAAATAAGTTGTCTGTTAGTTATTTTCGTAAGCTTTTAAAAATAAAATACCTAAACTACCTCTAAAATAAGTCAATCTTCTCCACATTATATTCTCATTCATCATCATCCCTCCTAAAAAGTATTGACAATTTCGAAAAATCAACTCTATTTTTAATTTTTTTTTAAATATGCCCAAAAGTCAAAACGAGCGATTTAAAACGGGACGGAGAAAGTAAACGGTAAGTCTAAAATGACACCAGTGCTACTGGTGTCAATTGCTTACACCAGTTTGTTTGGGATACCTACGGTGCTCCGTTTGTAAAAACGACGGTTCCTATCCCTCCTAACCCTCCCCCTAAACCTCCCACCCCAGCCCCACCCTTGCCCCCCACCCCAGCCCCCCCTCCCGCCCCCCTCCCTACCCTACCCACTCTCTTTCTCTAAATCTCCCCATGTCTATGAACTCATTTATCTCTTATCTCTTTCTATCCCACTCCTTCCGTGCTTAATAAGTTTCTTAGTTAGTATTACGGTTTAATTTCCTGATAACTTTTATTTGTGTTTTTTGTTAGAATTTGATAAAATTAAATATTCTTTTCAAATTTACTAAAATTTACTTATGGTAGCATATTCTCCCTCATAATATTCTAAGGATATTCTACATGTGTCCCAAAACTTTTGTTTGTGATTTTTTAAGTCAAATTTTGCAATAGGATATGCTACATACGTTCGTCCCACAGAAATTGTTCTCATTAAAAAAAATGTGAGATTTATATATATATATATATATATATATATATATAGATTTTGGTTCAGGTTAGAATGCGATCTTATGAAAGAAATAAGAATGAATCTGGTGCTTTAGATTGTGAGATCTAAGGGTTAGGATTGCATCAAAATTAGGTGCACCAAAATGGTCTAAATATGCATCATGTCGAAATGCACCAAGAACCTTTGAAAATGCACTATCTCAAAATCTGAGTGCAGGATGCAATCTGAGCCGCACGATGCATCAGATCCAAAGGCTAGATTTTATTCTTATTTCTTTCACCAAGGTGCATTCTCACTTGATCCAGCCCCTATATATATATATATATATATATATATATATATATATATATATATATATATATATATATATATATATCAAGAGTTATATACTCCCTCCGTCCCAATTTATAGTGCCTGTTTCAGTTTATGATGTTTGATTGAAATTATTTTCAAATCATTTTATATGAAAAATGGTTTAGAGTTAAAAAATAAAAATTACATATTATAATACAACGTCAAAAGATCTACAAAACTAGTAGTGACAATAGTACTTTATTTTATCAAATTCCTAATGAAAATTGATAAAGAAAGTGAATGAAGTTTGACCCTATGAATGGTAAACATGCATTATAATTTGGGACGGATGAAGTAATAAAATAACAGGTGATAAAAATAGTCAATGGAAAAACACATGTGAACAAAAATTCTCGTGATTACAGTAGTAATATTCCGTATGAAAAAAGAAACAAATGGTGTATTAAGGAAATAGAACAGGTAAGCATTACCCCCGAAAGAGTACTCGCACTCGCTTTGTCTATTTTATTTTGATTTATGATATTTGGTAGAAGTTAATTAAAAAAAAGCTCAAAAAATAATTACTCCCTTCGTTCTATAAAACTCTTCCCTTTCATTTTATCCAATTCTCTAAAACACTTCCATTTTCTAATAAAAAACCATTTTTACCCCTACTTTTTCATATCCTACCTATTACATCATACTTTCTCACTAATAACCAATTTCTGACATCTTAATTTTATCCATCACATCAAGAGAAAAATTGGAAAGTCAACCAAAATTACAATTTCCTTATTTTGGCCCAAAGTCAAAATGAGAATGGTTTAAAGGAAGGGAGGGAGTACATATTAAAAAAATTACTCAGTACATTAAAAGCTTTACGAAGGAAGAGATGTGATGATTATATTTCTCTTTCCGTTCCTGAAAACATTGGAGATTTTGATTTTTAAAAGATTTAAGGGGAATGTATTTTGGTGTTGAGTTTCCAAAAATGTCCTTAGATGTAATGCGTAAAAGTAGGATTTGATGGATAGATTAATAATAAATAGATGTGATATGATATGTAGGTTAAGAATTAGTATGAGTAAAAGTGACTTTTTAATGAAAATAAGAAAAGTTTTTTGGAACGGATGAAGAAAAAAGAAAAATATTTTCAGAACGAAAAAAGTTTTTTGTTAAATGCAAAAATAAGAAGTAAAAAGTTGAATAAAATTTGACTTAGGACGGAGGGAGTAGTATTAATTCCATTTAACAGACCTAACCATTTGTATTACGAGTAGAAGACTTTAGCAAAAGAGAGAAAGACCAAAGTAAGACTAAAACATTGAAAATATACCAAAATAGGACTTTGATGTTTTTATTCCCGAAATAAGACTTAATTATATTATCAAACATGATCATGTACATACATTACTAAAAAAATATAGTAATGTGCATATGTATAGTGCCACATTAGCAAAGTCTTATTTTGAGAAAAAAAACATGAATGCCATATTTTAGTAATTTATCTATATGATTTCTACTAGCAAAACAGGTAATCCGTAGTAATTTTTAGAAAGATCCGTAATTTGACACAATGCTAAAAACTAAATAACTCGGTAGTATATTTTTTTTTTGAAAAAACCATTTAAACTATACCCTACCTACCAAAAGACAACTTTAGCAAGCATCTTGAATATAAGTTTGACAGTCAAAAATGTAATTTTTGGTCAAAAAAATTGAAGAAATAGGATAGTGTTAGAGAAGATATTTATCAGAAATATGATATGATAATAAGGTCATTAGCTTTCTTAATTAATGCCAGATGCCTACTTGGCTACTTCCATGTTACACAAACCTCCAATTGCTAGGATTAATATTTCAAAGTTCCAAACGACAAGAAAGACACTATACATTAGTGAAGGTTTGAAGACCTAATGTTTGCATTTGAAAATCTTGGGTATCTGCATATCATGCCATGCTAATAAGCCAATATTTTTTTTACCCACCTACTCCCTCAATTGCACAAAACAATTCCATATTTATCTTTAATTCTTTTCAGAAAACACTTCTATTTTTCATTAAAAAGTTTATTTTATCCATACGGACTCTTGTCTAACCTATCACATCATATCTACTTATTATTCTCTCTGTCCTAAAACTTTCTTCTCAGTTTGACTTTTCTTCATTTTTAATTTTTGGCTTTGACTTCAAATTTTACCATAAGGGTAAAATTTGGTTGGTGTAGAAAGTTTCATTAATTACAACCCAATATATATATATACAAGTATAGAAGTGACTTATACAGGGACCATGAATGTAATGAATGGCCAACTTGGATAATAAGAAATCCAAAATATGTTTAGACTAACACTAAGAACAAGATTAGTATCACTTGCAAATTCTAGATTCTTGGATACATTTACGGAGTATTTCTTTTTTAATAGTCATTAATCATCATATATATATAAAGATACAACTAGCCTAATTGTAAATAATCACTCACTAGAAATTAAGGCTTTTTTATTTTCGTCTCATTCTTTATATCTAGAGGAATTTTAAATAAATGTAAAATTTGCACTAAATATGACTAAAACATAATGTCTTTCCTAATATAGGACTTAAACTTTTTTATTCCCTAAATAGGACTTAATAATGACCTAGTGGAAGAATAATGTCCAATAATGATGGACATTTACTTGAATAATGACTACATGATAATGATCAAAAGTCTTACACTGGGAAATAAAAACATATAGTCTTATATTGGGAAAGTCATTATGTTTTAGTCCTATTTAGGTAAATTTCTCATTTTAAATTAAAATTTATACGTACTCCATCTATTCATATTTAATTATTCGGTTCACTTTTTGAACTTAAAGTTTGCATTAACAATATCTCTAAAATATATTAGAAAAAAATATTTAAAAAAGTACATTTTAAAAAAAATTTCAATATCAATAATTTGGTATAATTTTATACTTTTATTCAAATTGGTTTACATATTAATGTTTGAAAAAAATAACATATATTTTCTAGTCTCAATAAATTAAATATCATCTTTTTCTTTATATGCATAATAAAGAATATTACGGAGTATAATATAAGTTACCAGTTATATATTACCATAATGTTACACGAAATATTATCATTTATATATTATTCATTTATGTTTAGAAAATAAGGAATATTATATCGACTTTAATTAATATTTCCTCTTTTTTAATAAACATATAATAATAAAGTACATTAATATATTACCATAAAATACACACTTGTCATATATAATCCAAATTTAATGAAGGAAAATGAGGTCATCATCATTTCCCTTGTTTTTAAATAAAGTATGGATATCAAAAGCACTTAAAGTAGGTAAATTATGTTCAAACATACAAGCTGTTGGGAATAAACGCACGCGGAAACAACACACAATCACGAATCAACTGCAGAAAAATAAACGACACAGGATTTAACGTGGTTCGGCCGCCAACTGCAACCTACGTCCACACGGGGCAACTAGGAGGATTTTATTATTTGTTGTTGCACAACAATTACAAGCACATTAGCATCTCTTAAATAGAGATTAGTTAGGGAGACAATGATTAAGCCGTAAGCTTCTAGGTAGCTTCCTGCCAATTTCCTGTTAGCTTCCACCTAGCTTCCTGGCTTCACACTCAACAATCTCCCACTTGAAGCCACGGAACAATGTTCACCTGCGCTTCAACTGTGCACATGTACTTCTGTAATCTGATAACGGAACTCAAAATTCCACCACCTCTAGTTGCCACCAGCCTTCTTGATCATCGAGAAGACTCTGTTGAAACTCTCCT